ACTTTATATTTTTATTTTAGAACATATATTTAAAATATAATGATAATTTTAATAGAATAACTAGACTAATAATAAATAATATTCACAGTATATTTTTATATTACTAATCTTTACATAACTACTGTATAACTAGTCCCTTCATAACTATCTTTGTATAATTAGACCTTGCATAACTAATCATAATATAACTAACTCTTGCATAACTAATTTTGACATAACTAGTTCATGCATAACTAATCTCTACTCCCTCCGGTCCACTTTAATTAATTTTTTGGCCTTTTTTGTGATCCACAATATTTGATTTTTTAAGATATCAAGAAGGAAATGAACTTCTTTTTGCTAAATTTGCTCTTGGAATAAAGAGCCTAGGAGTAATTGTTATATTTTCAATGAATAAATTAAAGTTAGTATGGTCAATTTAATTGTTAATTAATACTAAAATGTAAATCACTTAAAAATGCCAAAAAATTAACTGCATAGTGCATAGCTCTAACCAGCAACCGAAGGACCCTTAACCAAAGGACCCCTTATTTCTTTATGGGAAAATGTCTGAAATTGCACCTCTACTATACTATATTGCTTACTTCTGCCACATGTTATACTGTTCATCCAATCTAGCCCCTACCGTTAATAAACTTTTAAAAATTTCTCCTAACCCTAACGGATCTACACCGTGGCAGCTAACCCACTCCATTTTTTCTATATCAGCTACCAAGTCACACGACCCTACCAAATTAAAACCCCACAAACTCCTTTACATCCTCAATTGACGAAGTTACACCCGACCTCAATTAAAACATCACACATTAGAGTCCATGTCACTAGTTTAAATATAAATAACTATACCCACTTAAATTTAATCATCCACTTAAATTTATTCTTCTCCATTAATAAATCACTGTCATGACCCCAAATCCCCTCCGTAGGATGTCGTGACAATCCCTAGTCTCTAAGACTAGGTAAGCCTAACAATATGCAAAAACATCAAATAAAAACTTAAAATTTCAACAACTTCATCAATAGACTATAAGCTCAATACGTACAACTTCCCAAAACCCGGTGAGATATGACTCACAAGCTCTAGATACAATGCTGAATAATCCTATACATCATTGTCTATCAAAAACATAAAAAAATAAGAAAAAATATGGTAGAAGGGGACTCCGAAGCCTACGGACGCGGGCAGGTGTACCTTAAAGTCTCCAAGCAGCAACACATCGCACTAATATCGAGACTGATAGGATGTACCTGGATCTGCATAAAATATGTGCGTATTAAGCACACCACAATGGTATCTTGTAAGAGCCAAGCCTAACCTCAGTAGAGTAGTGATGAGTTCGGATCAAGGCCCTACCGGAGATAATAAAAAATAAGTCAGAGATGATATGATATAATGAAAATGACAGGGAAGTGAACAATAATGAATTTACGGGAAATAACAACACGAAATCAAGGAAAGCTAACACAACACGAAAGGAAAACAAGAATTTTACATATTATGGAACACAACAACCAACAATACAGTAAATAAGGAAGATTAACAGGGGCACTCCCGAGGTACCGCCTCGTAGTCCCAAATCATAAAATAACTCAATTTCCTTATATCACCGCACCGCGGGGCCTATACATTTGGTTTTGAAAATTATTTTTCTGAAATAGCACCCTGTGTTTTAGCCCACCTTATCACACCGCATGGCTTCTATTAGTTCCCCTACTAGCCACGTGTATCAAGCCTCTTATCTCACCGCATGCGTTTCAACACCCACACCTTATACCACTGCATGCGTATCAATAATCATAATGGAACGGCTGAAACCTCGTGCATCAATAACAACTGCACGACAGAAACCTCGTGCAACAATAACAACAGCACGGCAGAAACCTCGTGCAAATAGCCAAACAATCACCTCAACAATAATACGAAAGCCAAAACGCAACAACTAAATAAATGATATTCTAAGGATAACAATTTCAAGTAAAGAATTTCCACAGTTTAGTAATGAATACGAAAATCAAGAAAAGCAAGTAATTCAACTAAACATGTGATACAAGTTGCAAATAGGAGATAAGACAAGTAGACATGTAAAATTAGGCTAAACATAATGACTATAATGTGCCAAAGTAACTCAATTAACGTATGAAAAGGAAACTACGTAGCAAAAACTAAAATTTCAACATTTAGCCTATGTACGCACTTGTCACCTTGCATACACGGCCTTCACATATCACAAATTATCACCAAAATACCAAATCCTAAGGAAAAATTTTCCCCCATAAAGTTAGACAAGTCATTTACCTCAAACCACGCTCAATCAATTAATTAGAAGGCCTTTCCCTCGATTTTCCAACTACAAACGGCTCGAATCTAGCCAAAACAATTTCATACTATAAAATATAACTATAAGAAACTAATTTAAATAATGAAATAATGATCTTAGCTAAGAATTGAAAAATCGCACCAAAAAGTCGACCCGAGCCCATGTCTCGGAACAAGACCAAAATCATAAAATCTGAACACCCATTCGATAGCAAGTCCAACCATACAAGAATTATCCAAATCCGAGCTCATCTAGCCTTTCAAAACCCAAAAACTTGGTCTAAGAACTGCAACACTATTCCCCCAATTTTAAACTCCAAAACAATAATTAAAAGGTGTAATTAACAGTAGATTCATGGGAATTAATCAAAAATGAGTAAAGAATCCTAACCCAAATGCTTCCTCTGAAAATCCCTCAAAATCTCGCCTCAATCCGAGCTCTCAAAGTCCCAAAGTGAAAATAAAATCAAACCTTCGATTCTTTCCCTTTTCTGCCCAGTTATGTCGCGCATGCGACCTTACTGCCGCAGGTGCGGATTTCACTTAAGTCCACAGAGTCCGCTTCTATGAGCCAAGGGTCACACCTGCGCGTGCGCGCCTGCGACAAAATGTGTCGCACCTGCGACCACAGTCACTCCTGCGTATCTCCCCACCGCAGAAGCGATGCCGAAAACCGCTTCTGCGGAACCTTTTCTGCACATGCGAGCCCTGGCCTGGGCTTCTTTCTCCGCCTCTGCATTCCCTCACTCGCACCTATGGTCATAACCTCCGCAGGTGCGATGACACCAGAAGCTGTGATTTTTCAGAACAAGCACAAGTCCAACAATTGATCTGATATCGATCCGAATCACCCCCGAGCCCCCGGGGACCTCAACCAAATATACCAACAAGTCCTAAAATACGATACGAACTTAGTCGAGGCCTCAAATCACCTCAAACAACATCAAAAACATGAATCACACCCCAATTCAAGCCTAATGAACTTATAGATTTTAAACTTCTACATTCGATGTCGAACCCTATTAAATCAAGTCTAATTGACCTCACATTTTGCACACAAGTCATAATCGACATTACTGACATATTCCAACTTCCGGAATCAGAATCCAACCCCGATATCAAAAAGTCCACTCCCGGTAAAACTTTTCAAAATCTTGCAACTTTCCAACTTTCGCCAATTAACGCTGAAATGACCTACGTACCTCCAAATCAACATCCGGACATGCTTATGAGACAAAAATCACACTACGGAGCTATTAGAACCATCAAAACTCCATTCTGGAGTCGTCTGCACACAAGTGAAACTACGATAAACTCCTACGACTTAAACTTCCAGTTTAGGGACTATGTGTCCCATTTTACTCTGAAACTAAAAAACAAACCTCCCGGCAAGTAACATAATCACAGTATAACACAGAGAAGGCAATAAATAGGGGGTCGGGACTAATATACTTAAAACGACCGGTCGGGTCGTGACAATCACCAATGTTGAAACACTAATGTTCATCAGAGGAATCACAACTCAAGACCTTCAATATGTCAACAATGGTTTTCTTGAAAAATTTAACCACCGAACTCTTCAAAAGCAATGGCTATTTTGTTTGAGCTCAAAAAGTGATTTTCACTTAGTTTTTAAACTTCAAAACATCACAAATTCTTAAATCTCAGAATTGGATTTTCATACCAAACTTCATGAGAAATTCATGGGGAACATCTCCCAGAGAGCCCGAAAGAGGAAGAAACCAGAAGCTCGACTTATTTTGGCAACGATGGTCGATGAAGCATTGGCGAGCTCATCATTTAGGTTACAAGGAGTAGATGCATCTGATTCATTATCTCTATCGCGTCATTCAAGTCAGTTAACAGTGGTGAGAATCTCGAAACCCACTATAGTGTGTTCTTTGGGTGTCGAAAAATTGAAGTTGACAATTCGATTTGTTGATTATATATGGAGGAAATCAGCTGGGTGTTGTTGTTTGGAGCTTAAAATCTTGAATCAAACATTAATTTTGTGGATTTAAGTGAAGAACAAATTTGTGCTCCATTTTTGGGTTGCCGAAATTTGAAGTTGAAAAAAGACTCAAGAATCTGAAATTCTTGCTTCTTTCCTGCTGAAATCGAGTGAAAAAAATAAAAATTGAAGCTTGAAACGGGAAGAATAACATTGATGTTTATATATTTGAAAAAAATCACCATTGAAGGATTTGTAAGAATGCTTGAGAACATAAAATGGGTATTCTAATTTGCTAAAGTTTAAGCAAAGTGTTAGCTGGAATTTGTTGAGAATATTATTGTTGAGAAATTATGGTTGCAACTTGAGTCAGTTTGTTGAAAAACTTGGCCTAGTTTGGATTGAAAAATTTGAAGCAAAGATGAAGAACTCATGGAAGAAGAAGAAGAATAGGGAGTCCGGAGGGGGTGGGGTTGGGGTTGGCGGGATATGTTTTAATTTTGTTTTTTATTGAGTAAATAAGTGAATATTAAAATAGTGACATGGACGATTATGTGGCATTTGATTGAGAGGTTTGGTGCCACTATGGATAGTCGTTATGTGGTGGGGTCGTGTGACTTGGCAGCTGATATGAAAAAAATGGAGTGGATCAGCTATCACGGTGTACATCTATTAGGATTAGGGGCAATTTATAAAAGTTTATTAATGATAGGGGGCTAGATTGCACAAATTGTATCATTAATGGGTCGTAAATTTTTTTAGATCTTTTCCCTTCTCTCTCTCATCTTTCCCTCGTCTTCTTGTGCAATAGTATAAAAACAAAAATCAAAGATTTTGGTTTGAATTTCAGGAAATTTTTTAACTTCTGAAAATGAGGCCTCAAATAGTATTATTTGGGGACTCCATTACTGAACAATCTTTTAGATTAGGTGGTTGGGGTGCCGCTCTTGCTGATACTTATGTTCGCAAGGTTCGTTTGTTTTATTTTTAATCAAGTTGATCTATTGAACAATTATACGCATCTATTAATTAAAAGTCATTGGATTTGATAATTGTGAAGGCTGAAATATTGAATCGTGGCTACGGTGGATACAACACCAAATGGGGATTGTTCTTGCTCCACCACCTATTTCCACTGGTACGTTACACGACCCCCTTTGCATTTTCCATTTTTGGCACATTTGGTAATACCTTTTGTTTTTGGATCTTGTTACCTCATGATTATAATTGGAGCTAGGATATTTAGATGGGTTGTAATGATTTAGGATATTTTGTTGGAGTACATTGCTAAAAAAAATTATAGTTTTGATATAGAGTAAGATCAGGAATTTTGCTGAATTTGCAAAAAAATCAATAGGGTCTAAGAGAAAAAGATTTTGTTTTTGTAAATTGTAGTTGGAAATCTACTGAGTTCGTTGATATTTGTTTAATGAAATGGGCTTTAATAGAGCACTATGGATATTGTCATACTGAGGATTCATATATCCAACCTCAACTGATGTTGGATCTTTATTACTTCATGATTATAGGACATTTAAGTATTGTAATGATTTAGATATGTGTTGATGCTAGTTAGTGTGTGCTTTTGGATGGTACTTTAATTTCCCATTTTGGGAATTTTGTTGGAGCTCATTGCTATATTTAATAAGTAAAGGGTAAGATCAAGAGTTTTACGAATTTGCAAAATCAATAGGGATGAAAGAAAGGAGAGATTGTGTTATTTGTAGTCTGTATTTGGAAATTGTGGGAGTTCTTGGAGGGGAGGATGCCGAGGGTCTATTGGAAACAGCCTCTCTACCTCATGGTAGAGGTAAGGTCTGCGTACACACTACCCTCCTCATACCCCACTAGTGGGATTATACTGGGTTGTTGTTGTTGTTGTTGTTGTTGTAGTCTGTATTTGGAAATTGGAATGGAATTTATATGCAACAATTTAGGGAGGGAATTATTTCAAGTATATATACATGAGTTTTGATCCTCGTGAACTGGGCTTTTCTGTAACTTTCTTGTGGCTCACTTGATTATGCTTTATTTTGTTTTTGAAATTTGAAATTTTATGGAGTCGATAGCTTTATGCTTAATTTGAGTGTTCATGGAACAATGAGATCAAGAAAGACTTATTGGAAAAAATAAAATAGAATGCTATCAACAGGGTTAGGAGTAAGGGATAAGAGAAGAGTCATTATTCAATTTGTTGTTCTTCACTGGGATTGGGAAATGGTACAGTGGTGAACCCCAGTTTTCCTCTCACAAGTTTTTGTTTCAAAAGGTAGAAAAGAGATCTGTGATGTTCTATGTACCAGAGGGTACAAGGAAAGAAGAAAATGTGAAATTTCCTAAGATAAGTTTCATGACAGACCAAAAACTGAGTTAGTTTCTTGTTATGGAATGTTCAAGTAATTCAAAATTTTATGAAGAACAAAAGATGACATTGGCCATGGAACAACAGACTTCTGTGACCAGCCACATCAAGAAGCTGAGTTTTTGTTGTTTGATTTGGCTGTTTACTAGTATAAGAACGGTATACTGTCATACTCTCTAACTGTTTTTGCTGCAACAAAGTTGCTCCTTCTTTTCAACATTGATATCTCTAATTTATAAGTGAGTAAGTTTGTTCAGGATCCTATTCAATCAAGCTAAGTTATGAGGCTATTTGTTAGATTCAGCTGCCTCATACTTGAGGTTATTAGTACAATACTACGATACACATAGTTTGGGAGTTTGATATATGCAAAGGTCTGTTGTGGTCCTGAGCTGCACTGTTACTTATTGCCAAATCTTCTGATTAGTGTATCTTTGGTTAATATTGCAGGATGCTCCAACGCCTCCTGTTGCTGCCACTATATTCTTTGGAGCCAATGATGCTGCTCTTTTGGGAAGAACCAGTGAAAGGCAACATGTCCCACTCGAGGAATATAAGGAAAACCTAAGAAGAATTATACAACATTTGAAGGTTTAGAATTTCCCGATTCAATCATGCTTGTTTGTTGCTAAATGCTGACTTTCAAATGTGCTAAAGTTTTCCTCCTAATTATGTTTGTCTATGGAAGACTTATCAAACAATTAAAATGGCAGGATATGGAAGACGTAAAGGGATAGAGTTAATGGCAACAATGGAAATAGTGTAGTATTAAGCCAATGCAGCAAACAACAAGTGTTATATGCTATGAGGACTAAGTAAAAAACACAGAGTTACTCAATCTCACCATAAAAAGAAAAAACTGTAAAATTTATAGCTAGTTTTCCCACAAAATTATATGTAGAAGCATTGCAGCAATTTTCTGTCATATGACCAGGATACTGAAGAATCAAAATTGAGCCTCTGATGTTGAGCTATTATTTAAAGCTTGACATCTTATGAATAATATTTTTGAGGTCAGGTTAGTAATCATTTTTATCTCATCGCAATTTGGTTATTTGTGGAATAACTGAGCTGAATGAACACTATAAAGACCTTAGTAACAGACTTATGAAGCTTCACTACCGGCTGTGATTGTAAATTTCCCATGTTAATCAAATAATTTACCATAGACTAATATATTCTTGAAGGTTCATAGGGTTATCTGCCTCTTAGTTGTTCCTTTTCTTCTTCTTCTTCCCCCCTTTAGAAGAGGAACACCTATATTACATGGACTTACGTACGAGTAAGGATTCAGATTTGAATTAGGCAGGAAATGTGCAATGTTTAGCATGTTTGTATTTTTTTTTTTTCAAGTTTCATACGAAGTACAGATATACATGTCAAACCTGTTTGACACAATTACATATTGGCAAAATTAAGAGTCGGTGTAACATAGAGGAACACATATTCACCAGTAACATCAGAAAGAGCGTAACATAGAGGAATACATATTCATAAGTAACATCAGAGAGAATGGATATCTATAAAACAAAGCTCTGGATGTCACTATGCAAGTTGTGTAATGGTAGTCCATAAGAGTATGCAACCTCTCAAAACCTAGTTGCTATGCTAGTTGGAAGACATGCAGATTCTTCCCAATGGAGTAATTAATTTTACCAACTATTCACTTTCACAAATAATGAGCAAAAGTACAACGCAAGAAAATGGGAATGGTAGATTGGCATGAACAGACATAAAATATGTCTTGTTAACTTTAGTTCATACTCTTGTTAATGTGCTTGTTGAGACGACATAAAATATCCCAAGTATATAGAGATCATGAATCCACCTGCTGGCAAATTGAATTTAGTTTGAATCTCACTCTTCTAGTGATACCCATCCAATTGCTCGATTCCGGGGTTGTTTTGAGTACAACAGGATACACTAGGCCCTTGTCTTCTGTTATGCTCTATATATCTTTAGAACTCTGGGTTGAGCTTTGTGCTCTTTTGTATATCTCATTCATCTTATTTATGACACAGAAATGTTCCCCATCAATCCTAGTAGTGCTGATAACTCCACCACCAGTTGATGAAGCAGGACGGTTTGAACAAGCAAGGTACAATCCACCTTCTCGTTATTGGTAAAATAAAATATGAAGCAACCAATTGCTCTTTTTCTTTTTATTTCTTTTTTGAACTCTATGGTATCTGAGATGTTCAAGAACCTTCTTGACACAACCCGGAGCTCCTTTTAGTAGTGGGATAGGGCTTTAACTGTTCAAAAGCTGAGTAG